GGTATAACCCTGTTTTTGAGGGCAAACCACACTCCAAGTGCAACACCCACTCCCAGGTGGGACCAGCTGGGGAGGGCTTTGCTGGGGGGATGCCAAAGTCCCCCCAACCCCCTTCAGCACCTCTCAGGGCTGTGGCACTGACACCCCCATCCCCTGCATGAATCTTCAGCGCATTTCTTGGAGAAACAGCTGGAAATGTTCCAGCAGCAAATGTGTCCATCTCCAAAAAAACCTCTCGCTTACACTGCCGGTGTCTGGCTGGTGAATAATGCGGAGAGAGGAGAAAGTGTCGTGGGGTAATTCGTAAGCTGAGGCTGTTCTTGGTGGCCAGCAGAAGAAAATATGAGGGGAAGTGACAGGCAAAGTCAATAAATAGCAGAGTAAGTGCATTATATTTGGGAAAGGCCTGGCACTGCTGCTGCTGGCTGGGGCACAGGGAGCACAGTTAAAGTCCCCCCAGGGCAGAGCACGGTCAACCCTGTCCTTGAACCTCTCCAACACCCCATTTGTCTCCTGTGCCACTCTTCTCCCTCCCTCCTGGAGCTGGGATTTGCCCATCAGCTACAGAGGTGCAGGATGGAGAGGGCAGCTCCTCCCTCCATCCCCTCGTCCTTCTTCCCTGCTGGGGTTGGGCTCTCAGGGCAGTGAAGTTCATCCTTACAGCTCCTGTTGTAGGGAAGTGAGAGGATTTGAGGGGTTTAAGGGGTCAGATGAGGGGTGTGTGTGTAGGAAATCAAGGCAGAGACCCCCGCCCCCCCAGGGTCCCTGAAGGTGCAGGATCCCTCCAGTGTGTGTGAGAAGGTCAGAGCTGGGTCCTGTACCCACCCCCAGTACACCCACAGGTAACGGCAGGTTAACTGCCAAAATCCTGAATTACACCTCAACCTGATGCAAAAACCACAGTGAAAATCAGTGTTAAAAGCCCTTTAAAGAGCTTGGCTGTTGCTTTTTTAATGAGATGCTCAGCAGAGCAACCTTTGAGGCAGCTCCTGGGGTGAAGCTTGGGGGGCTGTGGATGCCTCCTCCATCAGAGCAACCCTCCCACAGCCCCCAGAACCTGCCCTGGGCATGCTACTCGTGGAATCACAGAACCATGGAATGATTTGGGTTGGAAGGGACCTTAAAGCTCATTCCCACCCCCTGCCATGGGCAGGGACACCTTCCACTAGCCCAGGTTGCTCCAAGGCTCATTCAACCTGGCCTTGGACACTTCCAGGGATCCAATTACCTGCTAACCTGCAAAAAGCTGTGTAATGTGCCCCAAAATCAGGTGTTGAACTTTTCCTCCTGCTTTCCCCACGAGGTTTCCCAAAGCCACACCCGCAGCAGGTCCCCCATCCGGGGGGGATCAGGGCAGGGAGTCACGTTGGCAGCTGGAGGTTTGCAAACCTTCAGAAACCAAAAATATGGGGAGAGTTGGCTCCCAGCCATAATTTCTGAACTATCCCATCCTCGGGGTAAACATTTGCTCTCGTTGGTGTTTTGTTTTTTTTTTTCCCTTCCAAGGTTTTTTGGCTTCTATTTAAAACCCTCGCCTTGTTTGTTTTTTCGTTACCGTGATCGGATTCCTGGCCTGGGGAGTTGGGAATGGCTGGTGCAGCCTCGGGAACATCAAATACCTCTGTGAGCTCCCTCGGGGCTCTGCTGGGATGTCCTTGCCCTTCTGAGATCTGAATTTCTCTGTGAAAGGGTGGGTTTTTTTCCCCCCTGATATTTCAATGGAGAAGTTTGAGCAGAGCAGGGTGAATCGATCACCCAAATGGCTGATTGCAGATTATTCTGCTCAGGAAAACATGAAATTTTTTTTTTTTTTTTTGGTCCCAAGTTCATATTTCTCCTTGGAAAGGAAAAACCTGCAGTTTTATTTTTTGGCCTGCTTGAATGCTCCAAGTTATTCTGTGTCGGCCCCCACTGGTTTGTCCCTCAAACCATGTGATGACCATCCCACCCCCGTGAGAGCCAGCCCAGCCCCCCCTGCCCAGCCCCAGCCCCAGCCCCAGAATGAACCAACCAGCTCGGAACTTTTATATTAATTTTATTCACATTTCCAGAGGAAAGCATCTGGTGGAGTGCAAGGGCATGGCTAGCGTGGAAAAGCTCAAGTATTTGGTTTAAAACAGGCAAACATTCCCGAGGCTGAGCCGAGCCCTG